AAATACTTTATATGGTCGGCGGTGCCTCCTTCACTGCGTTGCAAACTTGTGACTGAAAATATAATACTCTGCAAGCGTATTAAAATGCCAAGATATATACCGTCTTTTTTAACGAGCAATGGCTCCTATCGCTTCAGGAAATTACCGTTTGCATTATGATAAGAATAGGGTTTAAATCATTTTAGAGAATGATTACTATTGCATCATCTGGACTTGAACCTGCTCAGCCAATCCATTATAGAAATGACTAAATTGGTTGTTCGGAAAAACATGTGCTTGAAAACATTACAGATGTTTTTGAGAACAGGAAAAGAAGTTAACTTCAGCACCCCGAAGTTTGTATACCCTCGCAGATTGAATTTGGATCACTAGGAATCAATACAATATAAATCATATATATTTATGTTTAAAAACAAGAAAGGAAACAAGAGGCACGCCGAAGTTTATATACCCTTGCAGATATAAATTCTATGACTAGGAATCCATAACATATAAATTATATATATTTGTGTTAAAAAACAATGAAGTAATACCTGCTTTCATTTCATTAACCTATACATATTATATTTGCAGCTTTACATTCACAGATTTGCATTTTTCTTCTCCATCAAACGATCGTTTGTATGGCATCATATAGGTGCCATAGTCGTCCGATTTTCATGAAATTTGACACAAAATTTAAGACTGATATAAAATGGCTATATCTCAAATTTGATGAAAATCTGTTGAAAACTGAAAATGTTATAATTTTAATTGTATTAATTTCTCGATCGTTGCTATGGGAGCTATATGATATAGTAGTCCGATTTTCATAAAATTTTACACAAAATTAAAAAATAAAGAGCTATATTTAAAATTTGATCCAATTCTATTAAAAACTGAAAATGTTAAAAATTTTTTTGGAAAAATTTTCCGATCATTCCAATGGAAGCTATATGATATAGTCGTCCGATCCGGCCCGTTCCGACATATATACGAGTGAGAGTATATAGAAGGCTAACTACTAAGTTTCATTAAGATAGCTTCTAAACTGAGAGACTAGTTTGCGTAGAAATGGACTGACGGACAGACGGACAGACGGACATGGCTAGATCGACGCGGCTGTTGATCCTGATCAAGAATATATATACTTTATATGGTCGGAGGTGCCTCCTTCACTGCGTTGCAAACTTCTGACTGAAATTATAATACCCTGCAAGGGTATAACAACGAAGTAATGCTTGCTTTCATTTTATTCTCCTATACATATTATATTTACAGTTTTACATTTTTGTCTATATCTAACGGTCGTTTGTATGGCAGCTACGAAAAAGTTTTAGTGATTTTTTTCCTGACGACACAATTAAAATGTATTGACTCAACGAATGGTACATCAAAATATGCCATTCGAAGAATGTCTTATACAATTTTTACATTGAAATATTCAAAAATATGGCAATATTAGCAATTTGTTTTGAAAAAAGTTCAATTGCGGTGCCTCTCATAATTCGGTGCTGGATTGTTGGAAATAAAAAATCCAAGTTTACCCGTTAGATAATAGTTTACCCCAGGTAACGCTGTCGAGTTTAGTTAATTCAATTTTTTAAAATTTTTTTTGAAGGCTGTTCGGATTATACCGGTAGCGCTTAATCATGCGCGCATGGGTGTATGGCTTCACCTGCTGCGTTCTTAGCTTTTCTCTTTTCTTATCTATTTCTCTCTCTCTTCTTCTTCTGTCGCTTTATCCTTTAAGCTAAGCTATTGTAAGCGTTTTGATATATGTTAAAGTCAAGCATTCGATCGGTAGTTGCAGATCCGACCAGAGAAGTGAAACGAAAATATACACAGCATTTAATTAACCTAATTTGAGCGTTAGTTATTATTGCTCAAGGGTGGCAAATTGGTTGTCTTCCCCATCTTCATTTAGTTTTTTTTTTTCTTTTAACCAAAATGGAACGATTCTTAATGATTCAGTTAATCTTTTGCCACCAACCATATGGGTAATGGTCGATTGATCCGGTGATAGATCTGTCAAGTGTTTCACTTGGTTATGAGAACATATGGCTATAACAGAACAATCAATCAAGTCTGCCTTCTTCGTAAACACTTAACGGTGCTATTGAGAAAGGTGGACCGTTACCACTAAATGATGAGATGGCGTTAAACAAATTAAACCATGCTTCAGCAAACTCACGTCTTCTAGCAACTTTTAGTTCCCAATAGGGAAATTAAGCTCCATACTAATGCCAGTTTCCAAGGGTTTATACCTGTCGGCGTTTGTAACATTCTTATGAGATGTGTGTTTTCCGTAGTAGCCCGGCAGTACCTGCATCAGTAACACATCAATGATTCATCAACAACAGTCAAGGCGGTGTTGTTAATGATTCATCGATTAATGTCCATAAAAATTGATGATGAATTTAACATGGGCATGTCTTGGGCTGTCATCAACAACAATTCATCAACAATTAATCAATGATTCATCAACATATTCATCAACAATTCATCATCAGTCGAGCGACTGCCGACGAGACTACCGTCGTAATTGTATCGTGGGCAGAGCGTCGACTCGGTAGAAGTCGAAGGCGACACGTTGATGACTTTTGATGACAGTGGCCTATTGATGACATTTGGTACTGCAGGGAGTCTATTAAATTCATAAGAGTGTGTGTAATTCTTGGTCGAAGTAGACTATTGCAGTAGAAGAGGTTTCCCATGAAATCTAAAAAGTAATTCTAGATATTTGCACGTAGAGCTGTAGCGGGTTACAGCAAAGGGTTAGATCCTCGAAGAGAACACGCTGAAACTTCCTGGGCTTGTGAAAAAGCCCGAGAATTTCAACGACGTTCCGACATTAAAAGTGTGATACATAACTCACAAGCTGCAATATTTCAAGTGTGTTGTTAGAGCAGCAAAACCAGAATTTTCTACAACTAGTTGGAACGCTAAATAAGACGTCTCGTCCAATACAAAATGGCGACAGTGTTTTACCCAAATTTAATTCCGACGTAGCTAGCGCTGATGCGATGCAGTGGTGTGCGACGGTGGACATCATTTTGAGCGAGAACTCGTTGGTAGGAAGTTCGTTAATTTTGGCGTCGACGAAATCTCTGGGAGAAAGCGATTCGCAGTTTTTGTCTTAAGTCTGCTACAATGGCTACAATACGGAAACACCGTAGAAATAACAGACTGTAGAAATAATCTTCAAGCTTCTGCATTTTTATTTCTTTATTTTCCGAAGGAGCAGCAAATGAATGACGATCATTCAAATATTTTTTTAACAAAATATATATATATTATATAATTAATTATATATTATATTATATATATTAATAGCAACAGAGATAATTAAACCACGAAAAAATATTTGTATCATGGCCGTACTAAATACAATTATGAAATAAAAATTGTTCTATCATTATGAATTGATTGCTTCCTATTTTAATTATTCGTTATTATAATGTTAATCTCCTATTTTCGTTACTTTGTACGGACCCGTATATTAAGTATTAAACTTAAGACCTGTTTCGTTTCTTAGCAAAACTTTATCACCTACTGAAACATAGATCTACATATATTTTTTACTTTCTCATCATAAAGTTTTTTTATTTCTATTCTTATTCTCTTCTATTACAATTATAGCTTTTTGTATGCTACCTCTAGTCTAAATTTACTTTCCTTAGCATAGTTACTTATGTTACATATCGATTTTATATTATCTATTAAATTATTTACTTGCTTTGCTTTAGCTACAGAATTTCCGCTTTTTTTGCAACTCGTATGACAACTAGATATTTTGTTAAGTCACATATAAGCGTGACTAAATATTCATTGTTATTTTCTGGTTTTGGTAGAGAACCAATAGTGCCCACTATTATTTACAAGTGTATCTGTTATTGTTAATGTGATCTGTTTCGCTTTTTGACATTTTCTTACTTTTCCAGTAATACTGTCTTTTTACTTTGGCCAATGTTTTTGATATGCCAGTAAATCTTTCTTGAATTGGATCGTCATTAAATATAGACAGTATTGCATCTTTTTAACACGCTTTTATTAGTTCGGGATGTTTCCTTTATTCTTTTTATTTGGGTTACCGGGCTGAGTAGTTGAACTCTTAACAATTTTATGGTTTTGTGGATAAAAAGTATAATACAATTTAGTATTATATAGATCTTCAGAAACAATAATTAATATCGCATTCTAACATATTATATGAACCGAACACATTCAATGCCAGAAAAAAAAAATAAGCGAAAAACAACGAGTATGCTAGAGAATAAATAATAGTTTAAAACAAGAAAGGAAACTAACTTCGGCACACCGAAGTTTATATACCCTTGGCATCTCTAAGATATAGTCGTCCGATTTTCATAAAATTTGGCACAAAATTTAAGACTAATATAAAATGGCTATATCTCAAATTTGATGAAAATCTGCTGAAAACTGAAAATGTTATAATTTTTAATTGATTTATATTCTCGATCGTTCCTATGGGAATTAATGATATTGTAGTCCGATTTTCATAAAATTTTACTTAAAATTGAAGAATTATATGATTTGGCTATATATAAAATTTGATTAAATTCTGTTGAAAACTGAAAATGCTATAATTTTTTTTGTAAAAATTTTCCGATCATTCCTATGGCAGCTATATGATATAGTCGTCCGATCCGGCCCGCTCCGACATATATACGAGTGAGAGTATATAGAAGACTAACTACAAAGTTTCATTCAGATAGCTTTAAAACTGAGAGATTAGTCTGCGTAGACGGACAGACGGACATGGCTATATCGACTCGGCTGTTGATGGTGGCCAAGAATATAATACCCTGCAAAGGTATAAAGATTTAGTGCATTTTAAACCCTTGCAGTTAGAGTAAAAAGAAATAATTTAAATAGATAATTTAGTTTAATATTATAAAAGTAAATACATTATTTAAGTTATATTATTATTAATCCGTTAAAACAGCTCGGAAGTGTTAAACAATTTTTAAAGGTTGGTACTTTTGTCTTTCTTATAGACTCTCCAACTCAACTTGGATCCCTGCAGTCTCTTAACATGGACTCGAAAATTCGGCAATCATTTGTACCTGATTACTCTGTTCGTGCTATATCTGATGTCATATATATTGCAATTAAAAGGGTGTTATATCTAACGGCGAAAAAGGCTACATTGCTGGAAAAGAGTCGAAAATCCGGAACATTCTCAAGCGAAACATTTGACGACGAGGTTGAACGCTTGTTGCATTCTATAACTGAAGATGAAAAACCCCAATTACTAACCGCGAATTTAGGCACGAGGCTCCATTCGAAACGTAATCGAAGTATGACTTCATCTCCTACGAATATTGAGTTTTCTCATGATGAGAGAAGCAATCAAAGCGTCGGTGGAGTTATCCAAGATGACAGAAAAATTATCAACCCTGAGCACACGGATAATGCTTCAATAAGTAGTTTGGTAGTTTCAGAAGTGGAAGGATATCTTCAAAATGGGGAACAAGATGACAGGGAAAAGACTGTAGCTTCCACACCCCTTTTACCAAAGCCAAATGATAAACCTGAAAATAGGGAACATAATCCCAAATAACATAACATTTTGAAGTCGCCAGCGCGTCAACTTTAATATTTGAGCTTATGAAAGAAAATCCATTGTCCAATCAATTTATAATTTCGTAATTATCCGTTACATTTTAAAGGCCAAAAGTTTGCCTTGTTTTCACAAAAATTATAATTTGATATTAATTTATATGCAAATTCAGAAAACGCAGTTAAGATTTTTAAAGTTTCAAAGTTGCTCACATTCGGATATTAAAATCAATTGTTACTTTTCCTGAAGTGCATTTCTGAAATTAAAGAATTTCTATAATCACAATACCAAGTGGTTTATAGGGCTTTTCTGTATAAAATATATTATTGTGTTACCTCATAAAATATGTACTTAAATTATTTAGGAATGGCCACTTACCTAGCGTCCGTTTCGTTAATCCACACTTAAAAACGTGTGGCTTAGTTTCATTCTATGCTCTATGAATTTAGACGGCTTTAATAATAAAAAACTTTATAAAACTTTAAGGTTTATGTTTATTAAATTATAATTAAATATATTGTTATTTTCAGTAACTGGTGAGGGGCTGCTTATAAATAATCCAATCCGAAAATATAAAGATTTCAAGAGCAGTAACACCAGATTAGTATTCTTTTATATTCAGGTTCTCATCTCTATTAGTAATTATGTAAAGTAAAGACGACGGCGGTTGGTATGGGGTAAGTCAAAGGCTGACTGCACTTTACTTAACAATTTAAATATTTGATGTGTAAATACACCCCTGTACCCACCTCAGCAAAAATAGTGTTCATTTATGTAATCATGTATGTATGTAAGTGTTCTTTTAGGGGAAAATGTAATCATTGTACAATAAATTTGGCGGTTTGTTGAATAAATAATGCCTCATACACTATTATTTTTGCTTATTTTGTAAATACATACTTAAAAAACAAGTACAAACTGAAATATTTGAATTGCTGTTATCCTTATAAATCATTTTGATACTTAAGGAAATACGAGTTACGAATTTGTTAAAGCCAGACTATTTCATATTTAATAAATGTTCCGCAAATAAAATGTTTAATGTCTATTTATTAGCTATATAATTACCATGTACAGAATCTATTATTAAGAATAGTTGGCCCCATGTAAGTAAGTTTTCTGCGTTACCTACATCTTAGGTTAGGTTAGGCTAAACCTAAGAGCCCTCGTCGTGGTCTTGCTTAGATTCTATTTTTAAGGATGTTATTATATGGACCTGGTGATTGTTTCACGGTATTAAAATCCTTAAGCATCAAGGTAAATTCTCTTGGAGGCATCTACTAGTGATGTCAGAACTGAGGCGCCTAGGTATCTTAATTTTAAAGTCTGAGTTTGGGCCGGGCAGATGAGATGCTTCAAGGTTTCGATTGCCTTGAATTGCCGTTGTCGGTGATGCCCAGCTTGACTGCATGAGAATTCCCACCAACAGTCTGCAATCTTTTCGAGGTAGATGAGGTTCTAAGTGGCTCAGTTTATCAATGCGCTCTTTGCACTTAATTTTTAAATTTTCAAGGTTATGGAGTTTTTTCTCCATCTGCTTTTTTCTTGTGTGCATAACCGTCTCTCCAGCTTGCTTTGCAACTTTCTTTGAATACGGGGACGTTTCCCATTCTGCCCATTCCATACTCATTCTGGGTATCATGTATACTAACCATGTATTGATTTATAGCGACAAATTTTCTGATGCTTCTAGGCATTGTGCAGCCTTTCCTGAAGTCAGTTGCTTGTGAATATCAAGTGGATCAATTCCAATTATGGTTTCGAGTGCTTTTGTAACCCTAGCGCCTCTGACATGCAGAGCAGTCCCTGCCGCTGGGTTCTCCATAAGCTTGTATCTTGGAAACATGGCTTGCTCCCACACTAAGACTTCACACAGCAGTTTCGGACGCACCACCGATATGTATACTATGCATCTTCTTGAAAGCGTATAGCGCTATGGTGGCCTTTTTCTCCTTCTCTAGTACATTGGATTTCCATGCCAGTTTGCTGTCTAGTTCAGTGAAAGGTATTTGACTTGTGTTTTCGTGGTCTGCCTGGTTGTGTCGGTTTTTTTGGGGATCCATAGCGGTACCTTGTATCGCTTGGTAAAGAGAATGAGGTCCGTCTTGTCTGCGTCAATACAGTCGATGGACGCACTCCCGTAATAATTAAGTTTATGTCATAAACATAAGCTGTTATAAGTTGGTCGACCACTAGATTCCATCTGTGGTCCACCATGTGTGGAGCTTCTCTGCGCTCCTTTCAGCATGCAAATTTGGTCCAAATCGGATAATAAATATATAAGTTCTAGCTGTACCCTGCCACGTTTCTCTGTGGCATGTTGTGGTTGCACGCATAAGAAATAATTCAAATAAAAAAGAATAATTTTTAAATTCATTTAATTCTGTAATACTTGTTGGTATACAATATTCTTCGTTTCTCCAGTCCCCGCGTAAATATAAAGACTATCTGGGTTTCTGACACGGGAACACGCAACATATAATTGTCCATGTGAAAAACAATCTGCATCCAAATCTAGACCACACAACTCCAGAGATTGACCTTGAGCTTTATTAATGGTCATTGCGAACGCCAAACGAATGGGAAACTGCAATCTCTTGAACTGGAACGGTGTATCAGTCGGGATCAGAGGAATCCTAGGAATGAGGACATCTTCACCTTTAAAAAGGACCAGTTACGATCGTTGCTTCTACTACGTTGTTCATCAATTTCTTGACTGCGGCTGATTTAAATTCCGGAGCATGATAATCGGAACACCTATTTTTAATTTCATAATGTGTGGTGGAAATTTTCAATATGGTGGTGAGTTTAGAAATTCCGTAGGGTAATTAACTGCTTCCTCTGCCTCCACAACGGGGTCTATCGACTTATATGTCATTTCGTCAGTTTCTATGCTGGATTGGATTACATGATTGAGCTGGTATACATCTTTGTTCTTGGCAGCGAGAATCGCTTGTCCACTGAGCCAATCGTGATTCCTATAATTCGGATATCGGGGAACACTTTTTGGATAAATCCTTCCTTCGATGTAACTAAATTACAGAACTTCTCGGGCAATATTATTTTTCTCGAAGTCTCATTGACTGACTGGCAGCTTTCTGTTCCCAATGTCCAGTAGCTGTCGTCAGAATACGTCGGCTGAGTCATCGTTCTGTAACTGGACACGCAAAACGTTGTATTATTCTATGCATTCATTATAGCAGTTTTGCATTGCTGATTAAGATGTTGCTCCTTATTAATTCAAATTACGCAAAAAACACTAAAAACGCACAATTCTGAATTCACAATTAACATATCTACAACATGTAAATGGACACTCACTGATACAATTTGAAGCATTTTTTAATACCCTTTGGAAAGTTTAACTTTCTCATTCATTTTGACTTTATTTATTTTATCTTTTGTAAGAGAAATGCCAATTTGAAACTGAACCGCAAAGGTCGTGGTGTCCTCTTGCAACAGCTGTTATTAAAACACCAAACTGTTAAGTTTACATTTTAGGTATGTAAAATAGCATTTTGATCATTTCTTAACATGGTAACATTGAAAAAACGGAAATTGGTATACTCGCAAAAAATGAGTTTTGGCCACGAAAACGCGTCAAATTCCACGTAGTGGAATCTCCAGTGATTTCCCCTTTGTGTAGGCATGCTGGTTGGTGCAGTTCTGATGATAGGCCCTGAGGTTTTTCAGATTTTTCCGGCTTTTGGCAGAAACGCAATCCAAGATGTCCTAGATTGGATAGGGATATAGCCTCTGCTTATGCAAGCTGTGTATATTCCGTGGAATTTTGAAGTAATCTCTCCCTTGGTCACCTTTAACATGGCTGGGAATATTTCGTCTAACCTCGATGCTTTTATCCCCGGTTTATAGACCAGTGTATTTTTCTGGAGTGTATTCGATCTGTTGGGAGATACTCTTTTCCGGTTGCTAGATCCTGGTGCTGGTTGGTATCGGTGACCTCGGTGCATCCTTGGAAGTTAGCTGGTTCATTGCTCTTAGTCCATTGTCCATCGTCACGTTTGAGCTAACTCTGTATGGTAGGTTGCTTCGATAGCAACATCCGTAGTCCAACCGTTTCTGGGGCCGCCTCTTTATTGGAGCAGATGTATATCCATGAATTGGCGTATGTCCTTATTGTAATCCCTGAGTAGGATTTTGTATTCTTCGTTAATTATATCTTTATATCATTTGCTTGCTTGGCGATTTTGAAAAATTCTCAGAGATTATTGCTTTGGAGATGTCCTTCTTCCACCACGATGGATTTGTCCTTTTCCTAGTTCTCTATATCAGGTATTATACGTAGTAATCGTCTAGTAATTCCATAGAGAAGATCTCTAGGGAGTTCTTGTATTCCACAGACAAGTCGCGAGTCTTCTTGTAATTGTCTTCTTGAACTTTTCCCAAGTAGTATTTCTTCTCGTATCTAGGATAAATAATATCCTCCGCCTTCTTGTTGATTTGGAGTAGTGGGCTAGTAACAGGCAGTACCTTCCAGTCTGCGGTAGGTATGTCGGGATTTATTCGTTGTAGCAACTTCGGCGTCCGGTCTCCTTGGTTTGCGATGGGAAAAAGTACTTTCGCCTTCGTTATCGATGGGATTAATTCTCTGTCCACAACCTCCAGTTTGGCTCGCTCCCACAAAGTCACCCTCCATATCTGCAAAAAGCGGTTCGACGAGAAGCTCGTGTTTTGCATTCTTGGCTTCTTTGCTTTGGGTTGGGGGACCTGCCTGCTTAGTTCCGCGTTGCCGCATACTCACCGGAGCATCTTTAGTGGCACTCTCAGCGGAGCGGAGGAATAATCCCCTCCACCTTGTTGGCGAATGCACCAGACGAGTGGTGTGACTGCTGGTGTGTTTTCCAGAGAAACCACCCACTTGCGTTTTATCCCTTTCGCTAGGCATATATAGCCATAGCTAATGATTTTTTTCTCCAACGTTTTGGGCGGGAGAAATTGCGTCGAAGACACTGCACTATCGCGTACGGAGCAAGCGGCAATGCACAGAAGGCGGCAGCATATCACTAACATGTAGTGCGACCGGGCTTCCAGAACCAAAAGTAAAGTGGGGACATAAGGATGGAAATGACATTAAACTTTGAGGGGAAGTACAGATAAAGAAGGTTAAAAACGTAAAATTTTTTATTCTTTTATAAATACGATCTTTAAATTCTTAGTGTTCAAAACTCATAATTAAAATTTAAAAATTTTATTTAAGATCATATTAAAAAACCAATATAACAAATAACATAATTAAATAGAATAATAATTCTTAAAATAAGTAGTCTTACGCTACTTCCGTAACCAAATGGTCCCACTTTTATGAAATTTTGTTCTTAAAATAAGACAGTTTTTGTATGAAAGAAGCGTAAGACTACTTCCCTTTATGCTTCCGATAATGTTTTTATTAGTTTTTTATTTTCTTTACTTTCATTGGTTTCTTCGTTTTCAATTTTATTTTTCTCCTCATTTTTATTTCATAAGTGTCCTCATATTTATTTTAATTTCTTTTCTTAAATTTAATTTCATTTACTTCATTTGCTATTTCGTTTCTATTTTGTGTAAATACATAATGGTTTTGTATTTTTAATTGTACTTCACGCCTTTTGTCCGTCTAGTAAATTTTCAGTCAACTAAACTACCTCTGTAGCCGACTCCGATTTATTACATTACACTCGGATTTTGGTAATGAACTGTGTTATTTATTGCAAGCTCCTAATCCAACTCGATTCTAAACTTAACAGTTTTGCAAGCAGTGGCTTATACTACGATTTAAATAGGTTAGGCTACACCGGAAAGCCCTCTTGGGGCCACGCATAGGTTATCCGAATGGTATTTGTATAGACTTGGAGATATTACGCGGTTTCGAAGTCC